TAAGATTATAGGTGTGCTTCTCAACATAGATTGTAGTTACATTATAACTTTTTTGATGGTTTATTTTTTTATATTCCTAGAGAAAATGCAGTTTTATTTTTCATTTCCTCTTTGATCAATAATTGCTTTTGGAGAATATTTTTAAATTTCTAAATGTTTAGAAACATTTAGCTTAAAACATCTTTTCTTAATGTTTATTTAGATTACTGACTCATAGAATGTGGCCTATGTTAATTTCTGTATCGTTTCTATTTCTGCATTCCCTAGATTCTATGATGCCACCTCCTATAACTTTTTCATTTTTTTTGATATCAGAATGCAATAGATCTTACAATCAACACATATGGTTGCTGACAGTTTTGGATTTTTTTTACAAAAGCTTTTGACAAATTGAAGATGTCTTACAATGCTTATTTGATATTTCTCTTCCATCTGATCTGTTCGCTTTTGTGAGTACACAGGTGGGTTCTCTGAGATCCATACAACATAGGTACAATCTCCTCAACAATTTTATTTTCCTATACTTTTCCTGTGTTGCTGAACTTTTGATATTTGTCTCCACTGATTCAATTTTCTGCTGAGTCCAGAATGTTCGGTACTTCCTGCATCTTGCTTTCATTTGAAACTCTGCCCTTCCTCTGCGTAGTCTTTGCCCCTCTCGGCCTGCCCTGCCTCCTGACGGTCTTTGCCAGCTTCAGAGAGGCTGAGTCCTCTGAAAAATAAATCAGAGTCCTGTGTTTCTTAGGTTTCTTGTTGTAAATCATTTTGGAGGGAGGAAACATGAGGGCGTTCAGAGAGCTGTACGGCTCCTTCTCTCAAACTGCAGGACAGTTCATAGGCTCTCTGATATCCCTTGTTTATACTTCTTTAAAAAGGTTAATCTACTGAGAGTTAGATTATAACTGAGCAGGAATAGAATGAGATGAAAGGGGGTCTCAGAGACCCATGAGGAAAGATGCCTTATTCATCCAAATCCTTTACTGTGGAATCTCTGAATCTGAATCGCCAGCGTGTGCATAGGGGACAGGGTGACCGTGGAGTCAACACTGCTACACGCTCTGAACAGGAAGGCATGCTAAGCGTTTAACTATATGGCTGATCCCATGAACTCTGGTTGTCTAAGACAAGGTTTCCCGTGTTGTACGGCAAGAGTCAGGCAAAGCATGGCCACACCAGCATCACACATGGCACGGAAAACTGAGATCCGTGGCTTCAAGGCCACATCCAGGGTCAACTTTGTGAACTTAAAAAGGATATATGCTGCCTCTAAATAAGTTACAACGTTCAAAAACACAAATGCAAAAATTGTTAACTCAGCTGTACAGAAAAAAGATTTCCTGCACTCATCAACTGACCCTAGGAAAGAAAAAAGAATTCTTTTTGCATTTCCTTTTTTTGTTTTTTATTCTAATATTCTATAATAAAATTTGGCAAGTTTAAGCAAGTATTTTTTTTTTAACTTAAAAACCATAAGTGGAATATTTTAAGGCTGAAAACTAAGAAAAAAAATGCACTTTTAAAACATTTTGGCTGAAGGTTTACACTAAGTTCACAGCATTATAAATCCGTGTCTTAAAACTGGTTGAATTTGGAACACTTATTTTATATTATAAGAGCACTATCTCATAACGGGACAGGAAATTGAGCTGCTTCAAGTAAGAATACAAGACAGACTCGACTTGTAAAACACGGTAATGTACTGTGACTGCCAAAGAAAGGCATACGTTCTGTCATTAAAATATTTTAGTGCTTAACATAGTTATTCAAAATGTCATGCCCATTGACATATTCTAACCTTTGTAAACGCTGAAAATCCAAAATACCTTTGTCACCAAACTCTAAATCGTTACTTCTCAACCATGTTCTGGTCTCGGCGTGTGTGAAACACCACGGGATGCGTTTACAAAGCCCCTTGGAATACTAATAAATTAAACACCAACTTGTACATAAGTTAGACTCAGCTGAGAACTATTATCTTATGTTGTATTTCTGTGTGGTGAAGAGGTCAGGCCAAATTTAAGAACTATCTGTAGAAGAAGCATCTAATTGTAAAATGTTTTTCTGTGAATTAATATCTGCCTTGTGAATCTGACATTGTTTAAACTGCATTATTTAATTTTGGGGTATGCAGTCCGTCGAGAAAGACCTAAGTGGGGAAGTCACTAACTTTTCCAAGTTGCAAATTCCTTATTAATATATGGAATGGCATCTTCCGTCTCACAGGAACATTGGGTTTTGTCTTCATGTTGCTGTTGTTTTGTAATTGTTACTTTTTTTTTATTATAGAAAATTTCAAATATAAATAAAGGTACACAAAACAGTATAATTGCAATAGAACCTCAAGTATCCCTCCCTCAGCCCCAGAATCAGCAACCCACGGCCAATGTGACCCCCCCGCTACCCACCTGACCCTATTATTTTGAAGCAAATGCAGAGCATCCTATCATTCCATCAGCAAGCATTTTCATGCACATCTTCCAGAGATCTTTTCAAATGTAATCACAATACTGTTCTCATGTCTTAAAAATTAGCAGTTGACAAAAAAATATTAATTTTCCAATTTCCTTAGGTCATAAATGGTATCATAATGAGGTTTTGTTTGTTCAAACTGGGATCCAAACAAGGTCCACCTGTTGCAATTGGTTCATCTCTCTTTTAAGTCTCATTTAAGTTTTTCGGTTCCCCAGCTAGTCTTCTTTCCCCCCTTTACAATTTATTTGTTGAAGAAACTGGGCTGTCGGTCCTGTGAAGTTTTCCACTGTCTGGAACCTGGTGTTTGCAGGCACCTGGCTTAGTTTACAAAACGCCCTGTCCTGCTTATGACTGGTTGGCTGGATCTAGAGCCTTGATTGCTGAGGTGGGGCTGGGGGATGTGGAGGGCAAGAACACCCCACAGAGAGTCTGGTGTTCTTCCATCCAAACACCTAAGTTTGGTCATCTTTCTCTTTGTGATATGTTTAGCAGCTGCTGCTAATCTAGGCCTGGAACCACAAGTTCATCAGGGGCTGCAAAATGATGGTATTCTCGCCCCTTCCTTATTTATTAGCTGGAGAATTTCTGTAAAGCCAAATTTTCTTCCTCTCTTGCTTGATCACCCAGTGGTACCATTCGTATAGAGAAAATAGGCTAAATATTTGGGTTTTTCTCCCCCTATTTGTTTTCTATGTCATGAGTTGATTCCCTAGCATCCACCAACATTGATTAACACATTTTAGTATCATTATCAACTTAGGGAGCTACACAGAGTTGACACATTTACAGCTTTCACAGTTTTTATTCTTATTGGTGCCGAGATTGTCCCAATTCACGCCCATAAGAGTCTCTGAAAGTTGGCTCCTGAGTCCTTTTGGTGAGACTCTAGTAACCATGGCAGCGTCTTTGCTACCTGTTCATTACATGATGGTCCAGGACAATCTTGTATATTTCCACCCTCCAAGCCATTTTCCACGGAGTCTGGGTTATTTTTAAGCCAGAAATGGTATTTAGAGACCATAATATGGGCACTAGGGGCGCCATTGCTAGTAAGTTGCTATTTGGTCATTGTTTTAGGACTTTTAAATGCATGGAGCTGGAAAACACGCCCTGTTTAAAAGATACCTCAGGAGTTTTACAGATACTTACAGTTCAATTTTAGGACTATAAGGTTTTTACTTAATTTCTTCTCTTTCACATTTATATCTCCTTCCTCCTACACCCAGAATCTATGTTCTCAAGAATACCAGAAGTAAAAAAAATTAAATTCTCACGTCTGTGTTGTTCATTTGCTTCATCCCGTATTACCCACTGGCAGCACTGCAGTGCCTCCGCCAACACACTGTGATTGCTGTAGAACGTTTTATAATTAGCTGAAGTCCTTTATGTCCTTGGGCCTATGCGCTACAGTTAGATTAATATGTGTCAAAGTCATTTGGAATAATGCTTCTCTGTGTGGTCAATGCTACTGACTAAAAACACAACCTTTTTGTTTTGTTACTTTATTTCTAATTCTTAGAGGTCATGCTTTTAAAATGTAATTTTGTCTTACAAGTTTATGAAGTATTTTCGGGATTCCAAAGTTCAGTGTGCGAGCAGATGTGTCCTCCTCTCCCGTGTGCCTCCTTCACTCGTCTCAGTTGTTTTCCTCGACTCATCACAAATTTCACCTCCCCTCGCACAGGGACCATGGTCCTCCTGTTCATTTTATACATGCTCCTGAAGCCAACACAGTGGACTGTTCGAGCAGTAACTGTAATTATAATGTGCATGCAACATTCCAGTATGTGGAGATGACTTAATAAAGGGCAGCTATAATCCCAATCTTATTTGAAAAATAAAACACCTCCTCCTCCCTAGTTCTGAAGAAGGTTGGAGTTACTCTGGATACAATGCTACTTCATGTCACTAGGGGCACACCTAGCACGATGCCTGGCACATGGCAGGGATTCCATCAGTATTTGCTGAGGGGATGCTGAATGCATGTCTGAATGAGTGCCTGCCCCTTAGACCCACGGCTGCCACCAGCACCAAAACCAAATACCAAAGGACCAGTTCGAGGCATGAGACTCTTTGATGGGAAACAGAGTGTGCAGGTCAGGTTTTTAAAAAGAGCATTGTTGTATTTAATGTGCATATTTAATACATCAGAGCTCTATTCTGCATATATATATATATATATTTAATGTAGCATCAACCTAACACAAAGGTAAAATTTTGAGGCAACAATCTTGCCTTTTCCTAATCAGAAAGGAAAACTCTCTCAACCATTTTGAATTTTGTAGAATTAAAAACTTGCCAGCATTTAAATCCCAGAGGGAAGGGATTACGCGAAGGAATCATCCAAATGGACTAGAAGCACCGTCCGACCTGCCACATGGGAAGAGCTGGAAGCAGAGCAGAACAATCTGATTCTCCAACCAAGTGTTCTGACTAATAGTATTTGGAAGAAAGAACATTATTTTCTCGCAATTGCAGGTAGAGAGTAAAACATAGAAATGAATACAGACGTGCATACACACAAGAAATCAGGATTGTTACGACAAAGGATAACTAACACCTTTGAGGAATTTATTTTATTCCTGAAGGAAAACTCAGAAATAAAGGGATGATTAGGACTTCTCCAAGTCCTGCCACTCCTGGAAGCAGACCTCTGTCCACTGTGTGTCCACGACAGACAGAGAAGCTGCACAGGCTCTAGAATCGCTCCTCCTCCAGCCGAAGCGGTGAGGCGGCCACGTAAATAATCACAAACCGGATGGAGCCCTGGGGCTGGAGGTGAGGATGAGCTACTGTTCCCCAGCCTTCCCTGAAAGCTGCCCCGGGGGGATGACGCCCCGGCTGGGCACTGCGGGAATCTCGGACACTCCTGGAGAGGTCGGCAGGTCAAGGGCCTGGCACAGACAAAGGTCAGGAAAGGCGTGATGTCCCGTGTGACCAGGGCACTGGGAACACCAAGAAATGCAGGATAAGGGAAGACAGGTGGCCCCGGCCGGGCAGTGGGGGGACCTGAGCGCTGGGGGTGGGGGGCGGCATGAACTATTTCAGAGGCGGCCCTCCTAAGGTTTTCGACAAGGGCTATAACCTCAACCAGCAAGTGTCTAGCACGCGTTTACTGGGTGCCAGGCCACGGAGGGAGATCTGAGACCATCATAATGAAAAGGCAGAGCCCTGCCCCTGAGGGGCCCAGAGCCGGGTGGGGGGTCACAGGAGGCGCAGAGGGGCGGGAATCCGTGAGGGAACCTTGGAGGGGAGCAGGGAAGCCTTGATGGAGAAAGTACCTAGTGAACGCCGGCTCTGGGAACGGAGGGCTTTGCCGAGCTATGGACGTGAATTTCCACACAGCTCTAATGTATTCGTGTAAGCAGCAGCCACGTAGCATTAACTCTCAGAGCGGGAAACGTGTCCAAAACCGTTGTGCATCTGGGCACGTGCAGAAGGACTGAACACAGCGGAAACCGCTCCTGGAAGAGGCGGTATTAGAGGCCATCAGTCACTGTCCTGGGCTTTGGCTGCTGACCCCAGGGACGCTGCAGAAAGTGCTCCAAACCTCAGATCCCGGACGGTGTGCTCTGGAAACAGCCCGATGCAGCCTCCCCGCAGGGCTGGCTGCTTGGATAAATAAGTCACCCAAAGTAGCACCAGAAATTCAAACGGACCCAGTGCAGCGCCTCACCACACCCACCTTCTCCTCTGCCCGCACGCCCTCCCCTGCTCCCCAGGAAGGCTGTGGTCTGTCTGCCTCGGAGGCAGAAGATGCTGTCAGGGGACCATCCCAGGAGGGGAAGGCAGCAAGCAACCTGGCCGGGTGGAGTTGAGGTGGGGGCCAGGGGGCGTCCCTGAGGAAGGACTACCTGAGCTGACGGAGTCCACAGCGGCGGCAGAGGAGGGAAGGGGGCGCGAGAAGCAGAGGGAGGGGCTCCGGGCAGCTGGGACAGTGGGCACGCAGGCTGGACTTGGAGAAGAGCTGTGGGGAAGGCCGCGTGAGAGCTGAGTGAATAGACCAGGCCTAGAATCACTGGAGGGCAGTGCCAACAGACTGTCCACGTGGGCCACCCCAACTGCTCCAACTTGTCCCCCACCTGAACCCCGAATGTCCCACCAAGCACGGAGGCCAGTGCCACCCTGACCTCATGGCCATGGATCGCATCTGGCATCGCCAGCCCCAGGGTGGGCAGTAAAGCCCAGGCTGGGAAGGCGGGTGACCAGTCATGCCACGCTGCCTGAACTGCCTCGGTCCCAAGAAAACCGGGCGATCAGCCACCCTACAAAAGCTTGCGTAAGACTCAATAGTAGGAGTATTATAAAAAGTAATAAATATAGAGAATAACACAATAGACATTTTCAAGGTATTTCTCCACAGGGCCCCGACTTCCACAAGGCAGAGCCATTTTCCCACCATCTGAGTGAGGCTTTGAGAATGCCTCAGCTCCCCCAAACCCAGGTCCGGAGTTTTGACCTCCAAGCATGAGCAGGCGAACGGGCCAGGACGCAATCCAAACCTCGGGCCTCAGCCCAGGAAACTGCGAGCCGGGCGTGTGCTTCCCTGGCGGGGGGAACTGGCCAACACATGGAAACATTCCCGAGCCACAAACAAGCCGATCAAAACATAATGCTTAAAATCCCGCACACAGGGAATGCATTCCATTACTGCCTCCCAGCGAAGCCTTCCCATTTCAGGGGGCAGAGAATCAGCAAGTTCCCTCCCTGCATGGCGTGGCCCCCTCCTGCTTGGCCAGGAACCCACCGCCCACCCCCACAGTGGTTCGCTGCTCTCTCCGTCTGTTATTTCTCCTTGACAAGAAGTAAGATGCTCCCATCCAGCCCTTCACCTGCCATTACTCCCTCCCAGCCTCGCAGCAAGCCTGCAGGTCCAGCTCCCCATCCCAAGTCCCGCCTTTTCCCCAAGACAGCAGACACTCACGCACCCACACCCATGGCTGTGCCTGAAGGGGACAGACCACGGCAGGGCACAGACCCTGGCGCTCATCAGAGAGAAACACATGTTCAAGAGCAGGGAGATGGGGAGTCGAGAGGAGAGCCCCCTCACGCTCTTTCCCCTCAGGATGGAGGATGACACAGTGGAGTTGAAGTGACCTAGTCTCAAAGTAACTGGACACGGAGCACCTCTTGCAGGGACTGGCCTGAGCGCAGAGAGATGTCGGCTTCAGCAGCAGCAGGGGCCCCGCCAGGGCAGACCAGGCCTAGGCCTCCCTAGCTGCAGTGAGGGACCCGTGAGGGAAGCTGCATTTGGGACCGTGTTGAACTTCACTATCCTGTATCTACCATTTAACCCAATTAGTGAAAGTGATTTTAAAAACCACATGGCACCCCCAAAAAGAGCCTAGGGAGACAGTGTTAGAAAAAAACCCCATCTGCATAGCTCAAAAGCTGGATGTGACTCACCATTAACAGACCTACTTCTTTTATACTTGGGAAATAGTTGACGGGTGAAAAGCTCAATGATGAAATTCAGAGCTTCCACGTGCCAAAGTTGGTGAGAACAGCATGTCCCGTTGTGCAAGCAATGTCCCTGTATTTCCTGTGGGCCTGAATAGGAGCAGAATACATATTATTCCAATTAATGCGCTCTTGTCTCTCCTGACAGGCCATGAGCTTGCTTTCTCATTAGATCGTGAAATCTTTGGAATATTTACGGAGTATAACTCAACTGACCAATATTACTCACTAACAAAGGAATGAACTATTCAAACTCAGATGGCTTTCTCCTTAAAAACATCATATCCCCAGGCCAGAAACAACACGGAAACTCTGCTATGCGGAGAATATCCTGGGAGCTCATTTGGGTCCGTGAAGATG